TATAAACTAAAGCAAAATAAAAGCTTTCAGGTGCTAAATGTCACTTGCAAACTACCGATTGAGCCGGATGCAAACAGGGAAAACTGCTGATGCGCGCCAACAATCCCATTCTTATGTCCACTTGCCAAACATTTTCACCCGTCGGCACTGGGTTACTAATGATGTTATGTTACTCCATGAGCTACCAGAAAAGTGCTAGTCTACTCCAGAATGCATGAAAAATGCCTCTAAAGTTATAGAATTTCCCCCAGCAGGATCTGCTCTTCTCCAAACTTCTGCACTTAGCAATCCCTCTGTAATGCAATGCCTCCCAAATCCCAAAACCTAGTCTTCGATAGAGAATATCCTGCTATCATATCTTAATTCAATCTTTTGCAATAAAGATTTTCTTTGGGGTGGTACAATTTTTTTAACACTTTCACAAGTGTACAAAGCATATGCGTGGGGAGAGGGGGTTTAACCTGCTCATATGCTTTTTAAATTCCATGAAGATGGGGGATGGGGAGCTGGTCACAGGGGGTTGTGATCTGCCAGGAAATCTATCTATCTATATCTATTTCTATCTATCCATATCTATATATAGATAAGTAGATAGATAGATAGATAGATCGATCAAACACAGAAAAAGGTAAGTCTTTGAATCATTCTCATGTAATTGGAGTAAACTTGCATCTTTGTAATGAGAAAATATTTGTTATACCACTAATAAAATCATAGTGTATGTGGAGACAACACAGAGTTCTGTAAAGCCATCTGCATATATCATTTTTGCAAATAATCATATAATTAAATAAAAACCATTGGATAGGAGGGTGGGAAGGGGTGTCCACACACTTACAGCATACTGTAATGTCAACAGCTTGTGTTTTCAAAAAAATATGTGTTACACAGTCCTTAAATTTGAATTTGCCACACAAAGTGGTATGTTGCCTTGTATTTTGTGTTATGTTTGTGGTTCATAAGAAATATAAATGGATTATGTTATATTTATGTATTTAAAAAGTTTATTGTGATTAAGATAACCATGTCATTATGTAATTCTATATATTTAGCACACTACTTTGAAAATGTTGATGCAACTGGTTTATAGTGTCTGAGAGTAGCATCCCTTTTTTGTTTTGGTGGATGGTAGCTGGACTTCGTAGGAGGTCAGGTGCTGGTTTTGTTGTGGATTTGGCAATGTCTTAGTTTATGGCCTGAGTGGTTTATACTTTAGATTCTTTGCCAATGCTGCCCCAATTTTGTGTTTCTCAATAGATACCTTTTGTGACCATCTGCATACTTTATGCTTTTCCATGTCTTAATATTTTGTACTTACCCAGCGAGGGCTTCTATTGTCCTTTGCCACTTTCCCATTAATCCTACCGCCCTACATCATGACCTTGACATGCTCCGTTCTAGAGAAATTTTCCTTATTTCCACCTAGCTCACTCTGAATAATTTGTAGGCTTCATGCTAAGCTTTGATAATAAATCATGGGATTTATATTTCAGCTTTTGCTATCCTTCCCTCCAAAGCACTGGTAAATAGGGCTGAAAGTTATCAGTGATTTAAAAATTCATCTAGTTAACCCGTTGTCGCCGGGTGGCACGTACATACATGCCATGGGTGTTTTGGACCGAACGCCGGGGGCATCATGTCATGCCTATTCCCGCGTTACTGGCTCGTCGGACGGAGGTTGTTTTTCTCCGATAGTAGCAGTTTCATTTATATGGTAAAGATTTTAGGCAATGGCACCAATAATGAAGGTAAACCTTCAAAATTTTAATATTTTTATAAATTTTAGCAAAATAAAAGCTTTCAGGTGCTATATGTCGCTCGCAAACTACCGATCGAGCCGGGCGCAAACAGGGGAAACTGCCGATGCACGCCAACAAGCCCGTGCATACGTCAACTTTCCAAAATTTTTATCCGTTGGCGATGGGCTAAGTAGAGTTATGTTAATGCCATTGAGAGGCCCCAAAAGTAAATATTCAAAAATATTCTTGAGTGCAATTGTGGCATAACAATGTGAAAAAGATGCAATAGCTGATTCAGTTCTTTGTAATAACAATATCATTAGCTGATTTTTTAATTTTCTTGAATTTTTTTTCTTCTATGAGGGACAGGTGTCATTATGAACTGTCATTTTAAGTATAAATTACTACACAGCTTGCTCATTTTTTCCAAATCAAAAAATCCACCAATAAGACAATCTTTTTAATAAACTGGCATTTCCAAAGAAAGAACAAACTGCAAACTAAATAACATTTGAAGACAGCGGACAGTACTAACCCCTGGAGTGCAGCCGACCTGAGTATTATTATCATAGCCTACATTTTTAATTTTTGAAATATACTTTGTACTCATTATACATCCTGACTAATGTATAAGTTACAGCATATTACCAAGGAGTCCAAATACAAATCATATTAAAAATGTGCACTTAAATTCAGAAAGAAAAATATCACTAAATATTTAATGATAAATAATTGTGCTTATGGTATAAAAATATTCTTTG